CACAGACGCAGACGCGGTCGCAAGCACGAGCACGAGCCCAACCCAACAGCCGAACACGGAACGCAGAACCCGAGCCGACACGTCCAAGATGCAGCGCGCACACACGCACGCACATTACTCCTTGCCCTCGTCGCCCTCGCCGTCTTCCCACGGGCTGAACTTCATCTTGCCCCCGCGCGGCGCCGTCAGGTTCGCAAGCCACGACGGCCTGCGCGCGCCTGTGCCCGCGCCGAGCTCGAGCGGCATCATCCCGTGCGCATGTCCGTGCGCATGCGCCTGAGTGTGTGACGGCGATGCGGGCATGGAGCCGACCTCGCTGAGACTCGGGAGGCGCTCGAGGCTCGTGTTCGTCGAGCTGCCAAGCGCGCGTTGCAGCGCCTCGCGCTCCTCGGGCGACGGCGCGAACGCGCGCATCGCAAGGCCCGAGCCGGAGAAGAGCGGTGCACCCGGTGCGCCGGGCGACGGCGGCAGGAATGCCGCGGACGGGTTGAGCGAGTCGAAGATGGGGACGTCGAACGATGGCAGCGCGGGCGCAGGCGACGGCAGCGGCAGCGACGCGGCAAACGCGGGCTTGCGCGAGAAGCGGAACACTTTCGCGTCGGGGTTGAGCCCCTTGCGCTCGGGCGTCGCCTTGGTCCGGTCCGTCGTGAGCGCGGAGGACGTCGAGGCAGACCACCAGCGGCGCGTTTTCACCTCTGTCTGCTGAATCTCCGGGCTGCGTGGAGCCTGTTGTGCGCTTGGGTAGCCGGGCGAGACGGGATCCGAGTTCGTGCGCGAGGGCCACACGCGCTGTAGGTCGATAGGGTCCGAAATGAGGCGCTGGCGCTGGTAATGGTGCTGCAACGGGTGCGCAGGCGGCGGCGGGCGCACTTCAAACGGATCGTAGCTGTCCTCGTCATCTCGCACGATGGTCGGGAACGCAGGCGCAGTGAGCGAGACCGGAGACGTGTTGAGCGCAGTGGAGCCGACGGACAACGTGCTACCGTCGTGCGAAGCGCGCCCTTGACGGTGGCGCCAGTCACGCTCCAGGAAGGCATCGCTGTCGGACTGGAAGGATCTCGGGACGCCGTCTGAGTTGGCATTCTCAAGAGACCGGATGAGGCTGTTCGGGATGAGCGCGGTCGCCGCAGGAGAGAATGCACCGGAGCTCGGAGAAATGGCCATGGGTGCGGAGGCGCGCTGTCCGACAATGCCTACTGCATTGCTGGACTTGACATTGTGAGTGTCGTCCCCGCTCTCCATGCCACTGTCACTGTCGAAGGGCGCAAAGGTCGTCGTGGGTGCAGGTTGCGAGAGCGAGGCGATGTCATCGTCGAAGATCGAATATCCCTTCGCGCGCCGTGCAAGGGCCTCTGGGTGGCTGTAGTTGGTCGAAACCGGGGAGGTTGCTTTCCCGTTGCTAGAGGGAGAAGTGTAGACCAAGTCAGAGGTGGTGAGCAGGCTGTGTTGTCTGGCGCGGGGCGAAGCTGACACTTCGCGCGAATGCAAGCCGCCACCGGTACTCGAAGAGCCGCTACTGCTGTTCTTGTCTGCTAGGGACGGGATATGAGGGAACTCCTTCTCCGCAGCGGTAGGGAAGATATCTGGAACAGGAGCCAGCTCTTCAGTCTTGGTGCTAAAGATCGCCTGCTCCGATGCAGTCGGAGGTACGGGGAGGACATGGCTGTCGTCCTCCTGGGCTTTAACCACGGTGAGTGACAAAAACTTGCGATCCTGCTGGAGAAGCTCTGCGCGCTCCTTCGCAGCTTTAAGCAGATCCTGCTCCTTCTCCACCTGCTGCTCTAGATCCTTCACTCGGGCACCCAGCGCGGCCACTACGTTCTCTGCGACTCCGACCTCCTGCTTCTTCCTCTCTAACAGCTCGCCCAACTCCTTCGCCTCTCGCTCTGTCTCCGCCTTCCGCTCCTGCGTCGCACGCTGGTCCTCCTCACACTGCTTCGCCAGCGCTTCGATCTCCGCAACCAACTTCTCCACTCTAGCACTTGCGTCCATCTTCACCGACTTTGCCATCCTCAGCTTCTTCTCAGCCTCTCGCTTCCCCGCCTCGGCCACGCGCTTCGACTCCTCGAGACCCTTCAGCCGGCTCTTGAGTTCCCCGCGGCCCGCATCCTCGACGCGTTTCGTGTCCTTCGCTTCTGCAAGCTCAGACACTAGCGATGCGTCAACTGACGATGCGTTGGTGGAATGCTCATCGAGCTGGGCGCGCAGATCGTGGGTCGCGTTGCGCGCGTGGTTGATCTGCGACAGGATCTCGGCGATCGCAGGGTGCGTGTCGAAGGGCGTGCACGGGGCGGAGCCGGTGCTCGGGGTGTTGACTTGTGCCGATAGGGAGGAGTGAGGGGTGTGGGTGTAAGCGGAGACATTCGTGCTGGAGGGCGTGCGGCTGTGGATGGGCGAGGATAGGGGCGGCGCCGCGTGGACTGTGTGCGGTTGAGACGGTTTCGGTGCGGAATGGGCGGAGGACAGGTGCTTGGGGGTGTGGAGCGGGAGCGTAGCCGATTTGGGGAGAGGCGGGGGCGTGGAATTGCGTCGCGACGACCGCGGGGCAGAGCGATCGCGGGACCGAAGTTTTGGAGGCGACGCACGCGGGGAGCGCGGAGACGTCGTGGTCGGAAACGGCAAGCCTTCGCGATAATCAGCACCCGCGTGGGCTTGACGTCGAAGTAGGGCGACTCACCACTGTACCCATCTAATTTGTCGAGAGCCTTGATGTTGAGAATGCCAGAGCTCCAAGCTTCCTCATCACATTTTGCTCGACCATCAGAAGGGTTGGGCCACGAGGCCTCAATAACACCGCCTCTCCACCAACGACCGAATGCACCGATGAACCAGGATTCCTTGTGTGATGAGTCGTCCAAGTCATTGTCGGAGGCTGAACTGCGCCTCGCCAGCTCGCTCAGACCAGACGATGAGGTAGAGGAGCTGCGAGAAGTGCCTTGAGATGAAGGGGACGATGATCGGCCACCGAAGTTGTTTGGGATGACGGCAGCGATGGTGAAGAAGCCAAAGCTATGAAAGGCATGTTTGGGCGTCCGCAGAGCAACAGAAGCGCGGTTGGAAAACGGAAATGATGGCGAACAGGCGTCGAGCGCATCGGAGCGCGAAGAGGGGCCTGATGTTGATCGTTTGGACGTGTAGTGGATGCCAGAGTCTTCAGAGTCTGTGTGATCACCATCTGGGGCGTCGTGCAGGCGCGAGAGATGGTGGCGAAAGGACTGTTCGGTGAGATAGGACCTGAAGGACGTTTCGGACGGGTTTGAGTAATACGCTAGTAGGTGAAGCGTGCGTTGCGTTAGTACCAGTATGTTATACATGAATACAAGACGAAGGGAGGCGAAAGTGAAAGGACATGAAGGCAGAGATGAAAACGTTGATGTGGGATGATGGGAAAGGGAAGAAAATCGATGGATAACAGAAAAGGAAGGCAAATCTTGCTCACCAAGGATCAGGACGACGAAGAGAGATACCGTGAGGCAAAACATGGTCCTGAACTCTACGCGGGTAGTGAGGAGATCAAAAGACCATTGGGCGAAAGGCCTTGAGGCGGCGAGGACGCCGAGGCTGCCCATTGCGAAAGAGAAGAGAGCAAGCGGAGAAAACGCGCTTGCTCTTGGGTGGGTTGAAGCGGTTTTGAAGTGGCTGGGGCAGCCTCGGATGATAGTATGAGATTGAGGGGACAGGACTGCGGGGGGACGGCAGAGGGAGCACGTCCCCAGCGAGGAAAAGAGGACTGAAGAGGCTTCAGTGAAGGCTTCAGTGAAGACACTCGACGACGCGAAGACACACCCGACCAATCAATTTTGCCCCGACCCCGCCCTTCCGGCCCCTCCGGCCCCTCCGGCCGCACCGCCGCCCGGCCGAACTCATCGATCCTCCGATCCTTAGTCCTCCTCGAGGCCTTTCTCCTGCCTCTCGCCTCGTGTCTCTCCCTTTGTCACCTGCGTTTCTCTCGTGCGCCTCTCTCCGCATCCACCGTTGCTTCTGACGTCCGACGCCCTTCTTTGCTCCCAGCCGGCCTGCAGGTATCTCCACGAGCCATCTTGTGATCCATGCTTATCTCGTGCGATCTCTCCATGTTCGTTGATCGTCTGCGACGTCTGGTCGCGTGCACACATGCACCGCGGTCCGCACACCGAAAACGCGTCACTTGCCGCCCCATCGCAACGTCTGGCATCCTCGAGAACGGACGTATCACCTATCGGTCGCGCTAATATTGCACACAGCATATCGCAAGCTTCATCTCATGTGCACGCTATGTCGCGATGAGTCCAGCTGACCTCGCTCTCCGCTTCTGCTTCGGATATCTGCCTGCCCACCCTTCAGCCTAAGCCCATTCAAGCCCTTTGACCCAAACCCACGCTTTGGGTTTCGTGGCGTCCACCCTGCTATCTGTATTGACCTTACATGACCCGACCGAGTATCCTCCGTATTCCCTTGCGTTCTATGGGAATCGAATAAAACAGCTCTCCCCAGCTCTGGGAGTCTCACTGCTTTAGGTCGTCCTCCGGCCGCTCGGACAACGCCTTTTGGTCCTCCGGCTTACTCTTGGCTTATACTTTCGTCGGTCCCGCCCGCAGCCCGTGGGCAGTTGGTCAGCAACGGATGCTGCAGCTGTCTGCGCCGCAGGCTCTGCCTCCGGCGCTGCGTCAGACGTCGGGGCCGCACTGTATATACTTAGTCCATCACCAGCAACCTAAGCAATACATTGTAGTGTTGGTGGCTGTACATTGCACTACCATGATTACCCTGGGCGCGGACAGACGGTCAACAACCATGACGCCTATCCCGGCGATAGAGTGACAATGAATGAAGCCTAATAACATGGTCTGCATTAGTATCTAATTCTATGCGTTGTTCACTCGATCCCGAATTTCTTTGAGATAAAAATGAAAGGACGCATCCGACAGCTCAACGCCATACTTGAAACGGTGATACGCGTCCGGGAGATGCGAACCCCTCACCTTGCTCATATCAATAGAAGCACTCGAAGAAAAAATAAGCTCCTTGGCGGGGAGTCGAACCCCGCTCTCCCGCGCACCATGACTCGAGGTCAGAAGTGACAGGCGGGTGTACTAGCCGATATACTACCAGGGACTTGTAACTGAAGGAAACAGATAAACCATATTCAAATGCTAGGTAGTACCCTTTGTCCACTGTTTTGTTTGCAGACGTACTTTACGGTGTCTTTGATGTATATCTAGAGTACAATCATAAATTGTCCAGAGATATTACAACACTGTAAGAGATGATACATGGTGGGGAGGAGTCCAACTGGCTAAGAGCGATCATCAGCAAGCACCCTCTGTATCCAAGACCGACACAACTTTTCATCCATCCTCGCCACAGCCAAATATGTGTCGGCAACGGTTACATCCCGCCGCATTATCTCAATGAAGTCCACGAGATCGTCTACTGAGAGCACTTTATTCTCTCGCCTCGCCGCCAACTCGATAGCCGTCCGCCGCCGCTTTGCGGACGGTTCTGACGGCTCCGCTGGGGTCTTGAGGTCCGGCTCGGAGGCGAGGAATTTTATAAGAGCGTCCGTCATGCGCTCTATGGAATGCGCGAGGGCGATGTCGTACGGTGATTCCTCTTCAAAGGAAGAGGCCCTTGAATATGTTGTGGGAGCGTCCATCTCGAGTGCAGTGCGCTTCCGCCGAGAGGGTGGCGCAGGCGGCAGGGGAGGAGGAACGTATGGCGCCCTGCCGCTATCTCCATTGGCGTTGGCATTGCTTGCCGACGGCCGAGCATTTTCCTCCAGCAATGCCTCTACCTCGGACACATCGGGTGACGCCCGCGGTGCGTCTTCGGCAGTCATGCTGCTCGCAGGCAGCTCATCTGAAGGTTTTGCGGTATGTGTCCTAGAGGCCAGGAGATTGGCCTTGACTATGTCGGGGATGATGTTGTCTACCGCTTTGTAGAGCGGCCAACCTCGATGCCGAAAGTGCGCAGCCCTTGGGTATTTCTGCCGTCACAATAAATTAGACATGGGCGGAGAAGACAATTCACGATGGCACACCTCAACAAATGTTCTCCAAGCAACTTCACCCTCAGGTCTGACTTCAGCCCCTCTATCCTCATCCCATGTAAACCCTGAGGTGCTCTGACAGTTCTTCAACCTGTAACACACACCATGCGTCTCCTTCAGCTGAAAACAGCGGCGTGAGTGCACATGATCATGACTATCAGCAGGTAAGGACGTACACGAGCCCACTTATTCTTGCACGTCATCCCGATCTTCGGCCCGCCCGCAGTCCTCCTACCTTCGAGGAAAGCAGCAGCCGCCGTGAATGTAGTCATCTTGTAATTCTCCTCCCCCCGCTCGGAGACATGCTCCGTGAGGAAATCGATGAACGCCTGCTCGTCCTCGGGTGTCCATTTCGCAGTCTCATTGCCTTGCTGGCTGTGATCCATGATAGAATTCGAGGATTTTGATCGTTTGGCGCGGGGCATCCAAAGAAAGTATGTGAAGCAGGTAGAAGTGCAAAATTGCCTCGGCTCGGGACGCGACGCGATTAGATATGAATAGGCGGGCGCAGTCACATGACCGAACTCTCTCGAAGGATCGGGCACGACACTCGGGGTTTCTCGAAAGGAACTACGAACGAAATCCAGAACGGATACACATATCATCGAAAAGAGTTGAAGGTCCAAAATGAGCCCCGCAGGAATGGATTTTGCGAATTGAAGTTGAAAAAAAAAGAGATGTAGGCCATGGCGGCCAACATCGGACCCGGGCTCCGCGTCGCGGCGGTCGTATGTACTGACCTGCGTGATTCTACGTGAGGTCCTTGTAGAGCCCGGTAAAGGCCCCATTATGTCGTAAAATCCGGATGAATATATAGGTCTTGCTCCCGCTAGGAATGACAATTTGACTGGTAGGTTGCCTAGTGGTGACCTGCGAGACACCTATATTCGGGTTCCAAAACACTATCAGTTACGAGAGTGACTGCGTCAGACATAGTTCCGAATGAGATGGGGGAATGATGGTCTATATATGTCTGAACGGGGGTGATATCCAATGCAGAACATGAAGAATATACAAATGCGCATTACCTCTATACATTATAATAAGCAGTCCTCCCACACCGCACCCGCACCCGCACCCTCACCGACCCAAAGGAACCACAGCACATCAGCTCTTGCCTGCTTCCGGTGCCGCGCCGGACGCTGGTGGAGGCGTTGCTGGCGGCTCTTCCGCAATCTTCGCCTCAGCCTCTATGCGCTCTCGCGCACGCACGACCTTCGACTGCAAGTAGTGTGAGTGGGCGGGCGATGCGGGCGCACGCGCCCCTGGTGTGGGTTTCGCTGCAGGCGCGGGCGAGTTGGCCTTGAACAAGTGCTCGTAATTCTAGCATGGTATCAGTAAGAAGCGTAGGAGGGAATGTGAGATGAGAGAGCGCACCCGAAGCACCTGCTCCATCGCGTCCTCCCTCTTCAAGTTCAGGATGAGATGCGCCTCGTCGAGGGTCATGCGGTGCTCCCGGGTGAGCTTGTCTGTCAGGGAACCAGAGGTAGCGTTGCCGACACCCGCAACGTCCGAGCCAATGGCACCCTGGGGTCGATGTCTGGCATCTGCACAGCGCACACGTATAGCTCAGCACCTCACGACTTGCCAGTAGGAATTAGCACACACTTTTGGCCGCCTGCTGTCCTGCCGCATATAGAGCCTTCCCAAAGATCTGTGTCCCAGTGATCAGGATCTGAATGAGGATTTTGGGGGCCGACTGAAGCGGCGTGTAAGTCAAAATGCAAAGAAGGCTTTGAGGAAGCGTACCATGGGTGCACAAGGAGTGTTAGCAAGGAGTGACGACTGCCCTCGGGTGCTCGGGACTTCGGAAAAGACGCGTCTGGGTGCCGTGAGAAAGGCGTCCAAAATTTCCCTCCGCGTCGAAACGAAGTCGCCGTCCCGGCGCGCTGCTGCTGTGTGCACTCTACTCTATTTCGCTGTTCCTTAATTCTCTATCTCCCCAAAAGTACCACAAAAGAAGGGCATCTGGGCGACTGAAAGTCCACGAATTTTCCTGGGACACCAAACATGGCTCCGCACTCATCAAAACGGAAGACCGCCCCTGTACCGATGGACGTAGACGTGCAGAGCTCTCACAAGAAAGCGAGGACGGAAAAGAAGGAGGGCGTGAAGGACAAGGGGAAGGGGAAGTCGCATGAGAATGCGAGCGGGGAGTTTCGCGCAGTGAAAGCGTCCGTCGTGCTTGCAATCCCTCCTGTTTTTGCAAGTAAGCCCAGGGACGGCGCGGAAGAGATGCTGGATTCTATGGTTATGAGGTACGCTCATCCTGGTGTATACATAAATTGTTGCAGGAATATGGAGTGAATATCTAGATGTCTTGTTTAGATATTTGCCTGCACTGCGAGGTGTCGTGCTTGCGCACTCGAAGCTCGAGTTTCTGACCCATGCCGGGAGAATCAACGGGGACAGCCCGTACGTTATCTGTAACGTCGGTTTCGAGGCGATGATATGGAGCCCAGAAGTGGGCATGAAACTCTGTGAGTATGATATGCTCTCGGGGTAGATGGTGCTGGTCCTGACATTTCGCAGCGGGAAAAATCAATCTGTGCTCTCCGGATCACATATCACTTCTCGTGCATCGAACATTCAACGTCTCTATTCCTCGACACCATATTCCTACAGACGAATGGGAATTCGAGTATGGGCCGGCAGAGAACGACCCCGAGTTCAGCAGTGAGGCGGTGGCTGCACCAGATCCGGAACCCGAAACCGACGTCGCCGAGGCTAAGCTTGAGGAGGGGGTCGAGGCTGCGGAGAAGACGGAAGAGAATGATGAGGGTGTGGACCGAGGAGGACGATGGATACACAAAGTGACCGGAGCGCGTCTTGGCGGGGAGGAAGGGCGGCTAGAGTTCACGGTCGTGGGGTGCGTCTGTGACTTCTTTCATCTGGCCAGATGAACACCGGCTTACTTGAGTCTGATAGGTTGACGATCGCGAATCAAATGCTCTCATTGCTTGGGTCTATCCAGGTCGATCCATTTTCCCCCGCCCATGTCCCACAATCCACACAACCGCAACGGACGTCGAAGTCCGAAGCCGCTTCCCAGTCTGCACTCGACGTCGCGGAGTCGGATGAAGAAGATGCACTTGAGCTCTCTTCTGACGATGACGTTGCTGAACGCCAAGTCAGGGAGGTGAAGCCAGCGCCAACAGCGAAGGAGAGCAAGAAGAAGCTAAAGCGAAAAGAGAAAGAGGGGCAGGCACCAGACGCCGACGCGGGGGAGGTTGTACCTAAGAAGAGCAAGAAAAAGAAGGCATGATCTTTGTCTCTGTATCTGGCCTCCTATAGTCTGTTCTCGCTTTGTCCCAGTCTACCGCCATTCAGCTCGAAACTACAGGCTGGGCGCCTTCGGGTATATCAATAACTCACGACCTCGCTTGCGATATTCAGATATTCTTTCGACCTCCTGGAACCTTCATGCGAAACAGCCATGCATTCTGGTTCACGTTGTCACACAGAATGAAAGAATACAAGTTGTCAAGTAAGGTGAACGTGTCTCCCACTCCGTACCATGGAACGTCGCTGGACTGTTAGTCTTTTCATCGGACACGTTGGGCATTGAAGGCACGCAAACAGAACGTGTTGCGGCCCGCCCTTCCCTCATCCATAGCTTTGAATCGCACGAGCGACCTCTTGGCACGAGAAACTCTGAACCCTGACGGAGAGCGCAACGGAAGCACAACGCGAACAAAGCTGATCGGCAGGTTCGGTGATATTCTTCATATCTTTATGTCAAGCCTGGTTCTCCGTATACCCGTAAGTGTACGCACGTCTCTCTGTGCCTTGCGAGGCCAGCAATCGGTCGCGACGGGTCACGAACGTGCAGGGCGCACGTGAGAGAGTGACATACTGTCTTCCGTCGCTTTGTCGCGTTCGACGCGTCGCGCTACCACTTTGACCTCCATCCCATCCAAGCTCACGCCCTTTCCTCGCTCGGTCACCAGGCTGATAACAATTCACGCTTCGCCACTACGACGCATGGAAAAAAAACTGCTCCATCTCAACTCCCTTGTGCTCGATGATCGGGTGCCATGATTGGCCAACGCGTGCACATGCTTCC